AAAAAACTACATGTACCTCTGACCCAGATCTAATATGCTTTAATGTCTCATCCAGTCTCTCCATTTCATATTCTTTATTATTTCTGATTTCATACACTATAAAACCAGTAGGTGGTACACCAATCAGTGGAACTAGCTCCTCCTTCAATTGAGCTAATGTTATTCTCTTATCAACTCGTACCTGTACCTCTGTATTGAATAATTATTACAATGATTAATGTTCTTTTTATTATAATAGACAAGTTATTACTTCTTTCTCTCCCTTTATTTTCTTCATTTATTGATATAATTTTCATTATTATTCCTCCTTCAGTTGTAGTGGGTGTGGTTATAGGTCCAGGAGCTGGGGGCATTGTAATGTCCAATGTTATCGAGTTGACATGAAAATCAACATATCTGTACATCGAACTATCTTTGTATTCTTCTTGATAATCTTTAGCATCTGATGATACATAGAACAACCGAGTATATGACTGTGTGTGTGTGTGTGTGTGTGTGTGTGTGTGTGAAAGAGGAATACATAATAAATAAAAGTGAGAAAACCATATCCCCACATGCATGTAAATTTTATGTCATAATTTTTTTCAGAGTAAAAATTAAATCTACAAATGAAACTTGTGTGGATGTAGAGCTGTTCAATCCCTCAATATTTCTGGCTAGCATAATTATAATATTAACTGACACTGTATGCTCTATAGAGTATCTTCTGTAAAGTACTCTTTACATCACTAATATCACGGACTGAAGTATCATCCTTCTTCTCGATTACTATTCTCAAAAATGATGAATTGATATTAAATACCTAAATAAAGAAATGGACCAGACCAATAGAGGGAGAACAATATAAATGACAGTACATTCTTCCTCTTACTTCTCCTATACGTTGTTTTAATTCTCCAACAGTCCAACCTAGCTCTCCTCTCATTGTTTTAGGTGGTCCTACTTCACCAGTTGACAGATCAACCATTGATACCTCTAGATTAATACCTACACCAACAAACACATGTACATGCAATTAGGGGTATTGTCACG